GGCGCAACCCGAACTCGAAGAAGGAATAACGCCATAAGCATAAATTTAGGTCGGGCATGCCCACCTACAGAGGGATTCTGGACGAACAGTTGAAGATAGTCAAAATTATTCCCAAATCGGCACAAACATACAACCAAACCGTCCCCTTATTATCTTGATGACAATTTTTGAATATTCCTCCTGTAGAGGGACGTGCCCGACTTACACCTAATGTTTTCGCGCTCCGCGCAGATTTCTCGGATCCACGCCCGGCCCCCCCTGGCGGCGCCTCCAGCGCCGCCCCTGGCGCGCTCCGCGCGCCGGGGAGGGGGGTCCGGCACAGATCCAAGAAATCCACGCTGAGCGCCAAAAGTTTACGTTTTTGTTTTCTTTCTTTTTCGAGGAACGGAGGCCGTCTCCGCCAGCGGAAGGCTGGCGGCGGATGGCGGAAGTAAGAGACGCGCCTTCAAGAGATGGCAGCCTTTAGGATTCGGGTTCCCTGGAGGCCGCCGTATATGCTCACTACGGTCGAAGCCGATGGTAAGAGCAGTGAACCTTCCCAAGGGTACCCTTGCGTCCGTGCCCCTTTGGTCCATCCTTGACTACTTTCGATGGCCCGCCGCGCTCGACAAAACTTCAAAACACGGGCGTCCCATGGGCTTGCCTCCTTATCGCGCAGCCTCACTATCAGTCTTGACCGTGGGTGCTCGATCTTGGGCTCCCTTTCCAAGTGCAACCAGCCGTCCAGCTTCGGCGCAGAGGGCCGCCAGGAACTGCCGGGGACCGTCAAAGTCGTTTTCATGACCTCTTGTGCGGGCCCACAGGCATCGCCCCAGCATTGACCCGCGAGCTTGGATGTGGACCCTGCGCGGCCCCACCAAAGCCCGGCACAAAAGGTCATTCTTGCCTAGGGCCATTCTTGCGTTTAGAGCCCACGAAGATATAACCCGAAGCCCTAAACCCAACCATGAATGAAGGCGGGTGGACTTGCGACGGGCCATGCTCAGGAAGGGACAAACACACAGGCACAATTCATCGTCGATTCCCCAGAAAACATGGGAAACTATGGGCACTGGGGGGGAAGACGAAGACCCAGAATCTATGGGGAAAATATGGGGAATCCTCTTATTTGTGTGCATTTATGTAAGTGTCCCAGGGCCCCTTCGGCCATGCTCCCATGCAGCAGAATCGGCGCGCTCCCTCGCCAAGAACCAGGCGGCCTTGGCCTCCTGCTTCGGCAGCGTTTCCCTCCCAGGCCTCCTGCTCATGGGGTCGAAGGATCGCGCCGCATCGCCGAGGCACCGCCGATGCAGCGCCGATGCGGCTCGATGTGGAGCCCGATGTTCTTCATGTCGTCGTCGCCGATGCATCGCCCAAGTCGATGATAAGTCGGCGGTGCATCTCCGATGCATCGCCGATGCAGTGGCGAGTCGGCGCGATCCTTCGACCCCATCTACGTGGACCCCATTGAGGAGGCTCTACTCATGTTTCGGTAGTATTTCCCCGATCCGTGGATCTGGCGCCCACGCGCCAGTGCCACGGATCCGTAATCCATGCTCGCGAGCGCCCGAAAAAAACAAAAATCCCAGGGGTCCATGGTCGAGCGCGTCATGTTCAGTAGGGGGAAGAAGAACAAGCACACAGACGCAATTGATCGGCGATTCCCAGGAAACATAGGGACATATCGAAAGTGGGGGGGGGGGGGGAAGTGTGTGGGGGGGGGAATCCTGCCATGTGTTTCCATTTCTCTGTATGTCCCTGGGCCCCCTCAGCGAGCGCCCGAAAAAAGGGAGCCCCCAAAGCCAGGAGCCCAAGGCCGAGCGCGAAACACATTGAACCCGCACGGGAAGGCCGGGCAACCTTCGCGAGGGTACCCTTTGCATCTTTGCCTCCCCGGCCCATCCTTGACCACTTCCGTTGGCCCCGCCCCGCCCGGAAAGCTCCGCAATGGCCTTCCAAGCCCCCTGCATCTTTTGTCGTGCGTCCTGCTGATACGGGCCCCGACCTCCCGACGCCTCGACTCTTTCGAGACAAGGGCCCCCGACCTCCCGACCACGTCCCCGGGACAGGTTTGCATCCCGGGTCGTTGTTTGACGGTCCCGAGGCCGGGCGAAGGCCCTCAGGGTCCAAAATCTCAGAAAAAAGATCCGCCTCGATTTTTGCGAGACGCCCGATGTCTGGGATTCGGGGCGGGGCGAGTACATGCCTGGCTGGGTCCTGCCACCCCCGGAGCTCGGCCTCCGCCCGTCATGATGGGCCTGTTGTCTACCACCACCACCATAAGTTGGAGGGGGGAAGGAGGAGGAGAAGGAGGAGGAGGAGGACGAAGAGGAGGAGGAGGAGGAGGAGGAGGAGGAGGACCCCCTCCCCCTCCAACTTGTGGTGGTGGGGGTGGAAAACAGGCTCATCTCGTCATGCGCGCATCCGCGGCCCTCCTCGCCGTGCTCCTGGGCGCGTGCGCCGCCGACGACGCCGTCGTCGACGCGAAGGGCAACGCGTACGCCACCAAGCCCTGGAACGCCACCTTCTCGGCTGGCCTGCCCTCGCCAGGGAGAAGCGGGTTGACCCACAAGGGGGTCCAGCGACAAGGGGGTGGTGCAGTAGATTTGGTGCAATAAAGTTGTGGGGTTGCAATACTTTTGGGGCGTGCAACGCATTACGGGTCGCAAATGTCTTGCTGTACTCCCGCAATACAACGCAATACAATTCTCTGGCGCAATACGTTTGCAATACAATTGCCCCAAATCTATTGCACCACCCCCTTTCAGCTGGACCCCTTTTTGGGTCACTTAAAGAGAAGCGGGTCCAGACTTAAGTCGGGCATGCCCCTCGTAAGGAGGATTCGTTTAAGAGTCAAAACATAGTATGGGAACGACGTGTCTGATATTTGTAACCATTTTCGAAAATGGTTGTGTCTATTCTTAATTGTTCCTCCAAAAACTGCCTGTAGGGGGACATGCCCGACCGAAGTCCAGACCCCTTCGCGCTGTGAGCACGAATTCCGGCGGGAGGTTTTTTTTCCGTTCTGTTCGGCCTTTAGGGGCCCTCACCGGGCCTCAGGGCGAAAGACCAGTCCCTGGGCATGCGCCGAGACTTCTTCGGGAGCCTCGAGACGGGAGTCAATGCAAACGGGGGTCAGCCAGGGCACCAGATCCTGCAGGATCCTGCGAAGACCCCCTCTGGCTGACCCGGGTTAGCGAGCCGCTCGAGGCCGCGAGGCGGCCGCGCATATTGGCTGACCCGGGTTTGCGAAGACTTGCGTTGCAGTTGTTTGTTCCTGCATTGCAGTTTTTGGTTTCCTGCTGACCCGGGTCTGGATTGACCCAGGTCAGAAGATCCCCGACTTCTGGGGGTCGACGCCGTGAACAAAATGATGACGTCGGGGGTCTGGGAACGGGTCCTGATCGAAGGAAACGGGTCCTCAGGTGTTTCGCCGCTTGCGGGCTCTCAGGGCCTTCCACGGGCCCCGGGAATGTCAGCAAACGGCGCAGGATGAGGAATTGGTCCTGGGCGAAGGCGCCTGGATCAAGGACCCGTGTCCTTCAGGACCTGTTTCCCCCATGCTAGTGCTCTCGTCTTTGCCTTCGCACTGCACGTGCTCCTCGTCGTCGTCACTCTCCCTTCTTCCTTGTCCTGGTGGTCATCCTTACCCTCGCCCACCTGCTCCTGCTCCTCCTGCTCCACCTCCTTATCATTCGCCTCCCCCGTCCTGGTGTGTTCTCCCTCGCCTGCTTCTGGTGCTCCTCCTCGGTTGTCCTTTCTGGCCGCGACGGAGATGATCAGAGCAGCTTCACCGTCACGATTCACCCGGAGTGGGCGCCCAGAGGCGCAAAGCAGTTCCAGGATATCGCGGCGAAAATGAGGAGGAGGAACAGGAGAAGGGGGATGATGATGATGATGATGATGATGATGATGATGATGATGATGATGATGATGATGAGGATTAGGATGAGGATGAGGATGAGGATGAGGATGAGGATGAGGATGAGGATGAGGATGAGGATGAGGATGAGGATGAGGATGAGGATGAGGATGAGGATGAATGATGAGGATGAGGAGGGAGGAGGATGAGGATGAAGGATGAGGATGATGATTATGATTATGATGATGATTAATGATGAGGAGTGAGGAGGGAGGAGGAGCAGTATGGAGGAGGCGGAGGAAGTAGAGTAGACGAGAGGACGAGTAGAAGAGGAGGATGAGGAGGATGAGGTGGAGAGGAGAGGAGGAGGGGATGGAGAAGGAGAAGGAGTAGGAGAAGGAGTGAGGAGGAGGTGGAGGAGGGAAGGACGACGAGGAGGAGGAAAAAGACGAGGGCGAGCAGAATAAGGAGGAGTAGGAGGAGGAGGAGGAGGAGGAGGAGAGAGAATGAGGTGGCTGCGGTCGAGGGGAGGAGGAGGGGAGGAGGAGTAGGAGGAGGATGAGGAGGAGAGGAGGAGGAGGAGGGGACGGAGGAGGAGAGGAGAGGATGAGGAGGAGAGGAGGAGGCGGTATGAGGAGGAGGATGAGGGTTCCGAGAGAGGAGGAGGATGAGGGGAAGGAGGGGAGAAGGTAGGATGAGGCATAGTAGGCGAAGAGGAGAGTAGGAGGATGATGGAGGAGGAGGATAGGATAGGTGAGGAGCATGGTAGAGGAGGAGGAGGAGGGGGAGGGGAGGAGGAGGGGAGGGGAGGATGAAGAGGAGGGGGGAGGAGGAGTCTCAGGAGGATGATGAGGAGGAGGAGGAGGAGGAAGAGGAGGAGGAGGTGTTTGCCCCACCTCGTCGTCCGATGATTCGTCTCGTAATTCCCATTCTCCCTTCGTCCGCCTCCTCCTTAAGTCGTGCTCCTTCTCGTTTTCATCTTCCTTTATTGATGAGTCGATCTTCCACCATCACTACCATAGGTTGGAGGAGGAGGAGGAGGAGGAGCAAGAGGAGGAAAGGGAGGAGAAGGCGGAGGAGGAGGGGGACCTCACCATCCTCCCGTCTCCCGCGCCCTACCTATGGTAATGGTGGTGGAAAATTGGCCCATCATTTCCAGGACCTCCTCGCGAGCGACGTCTTCACCCAGGCGCGCTTCTTTCGTGTCGTACCTAACTTCATGGTCCAGTTCGGAATCCCTGCCGACCCGAAGGTGGCCAAGGTCTGCCTCTCTTCACTCCGGGGCGCAAGGACAGTGAATAGGAACGAGAGCGGGCTTGGCGGGGCAGCGGAGATGTATAGAAGAGGAGGGTCATCGCCCACCAAACCACCCCAACCCAGCCCCAAGGCCCCGATGTGCTCTCCATTTCCAGCGGGGGGTGGCCGGGGAACATGTGGAACAAAATCACATATGAAGCCCGTACCCCCCCCCCAGAGGAGGATGAAGTAGAGGAGGGGGAGGGACGCTGCTATCCCATCGGCTTCGCGCTGGGCGTGCTCAGTTCACTCTGCCAGGCGGCGTTTGGAGTGGACCCGGACTCGGGTCCCTCTTGGGCCACCGTGCGGCGAAAGGACAGAGCCTAAACATAAGAGTCAGAGAAGACAGACATGTGGTCGTTTTCTTGTTCATTGTTTTGCCGATCGGCGCGGGCCCTCGCACCCTCCCCCCCCGTTGGAGTAGATCTTGGCTGTTGTTGGCGCCTGTTTTAAGCAGGCGCAGTCTCCCCCATAGGACGCGTTGTTCAAACAGTCGCATTAAGCAGAGGTCTGGAGCCAGAGCCCCGCCATCACCCCCGCCCTTTCCGCCCCTGGGGGCACGAAACGTGTGAGGGGTGTGCCGAAGCTGATGGCGATGATGGTGATGATGACGGCGATGGTGATGCCGATGATGGTGATGATGGCGGCCATGATGATGACGATGATGATGATGATGATGATGATGATGATGATGATGATGATGATGATGATGCTGATGCTGATGCTGATGCTGATGCTGATGATGATGATGATGATGCTGATGATGCTGATGCTGATGATGCTGATGCTGATGATGATGCTGCTGCTGATGATGATGATGGTGATGGTGATGGTGATGGTGACTTCGATGATGCTGATGTTGGCGATGCTGGTGGAGGGAGGGGGAGTGGGAGGAGGAAGGAGGGAAGGAGGAGGAGGGAACGCGGGGCGATGTTATATATATATATATGTATAAAAAAACGAGGAACCTACACCCTGGGATGGTTGGAAGTAATCGTCGATTTCCCAGAAAATGTTGGAAACTATGGGAAGTGGAAGGGGACGACGAGCATTCAGAACCTATGGAGAATACAGGGGATCTTGGGATTTGTGTCTCTATTTGTTTGTGCGCCCCTGGGTTCCGCTTCCCGAAGTCGGGGCGTGTCTGGGCCCCTTGAGCTGAAAAATGGCTTGAGCCAAAATCTGGGCATTCGTTCGGACGTGTGCATTTCTTCTCTCGGCGAGGACCATCCAGGAGCATCCTAGACCACCCGGAAAATGAACGCACGAAGCCGAACACATGCATTGGGAATGGACGTCCGAGCGATGGCAAGAAACGGCGACAGACGGCGAGGGGCACGGGAGGAGGAGGAGGAGGATGAGGAGGAGGAGAAGGAGGAGGAGGGACGGGGGACGGTTCTTCCTCGCGTCGTCGTCTCTTGCTCGTCGTCTTCTCTTGCTCGTCGTCGTCGTCGTCGCCGTCCTCCACTTCATGGCCACTCGTTTCCTTATCCCCGCGTTCCTCACTCCTTCCTCCTCCCCTTCCTCCCTCCT